AACATTTCGTGGTCACTGCAGCCAAGACTGCATCCTCCCATGGGGAAACTATGAACAGGTTCTCGCCGATTTCTTCTTTTCAGTAGAAGTTTTCTATCATCTTCTTACTAGTTTTACTGTCAGAGAGTCTGATAAGAATTTTGTCAGTGACTTGGAAATAGGAAAACTATTCCCTTGGGATGCTTATAACAAGCATGCCAGTCTTCGCCTTGCATTGTTGATTCAGAGCATAGCTAGAGACATACAGGGATTAATATGATCTCAGGCAAAATCTGTGAGAGGGCTCGAGGATCTGGTGAAATGTAGTTCAATTATTTAATAATTGTGTTAAATATCTTAAACTAGTGTCTCCATTATTAAAAAAAAAAACAACAATGTGCAGAGTTTGTGCATACATGTGTACACATGCATGTTAATGAGTGTGAGAAAAGAGCTGCCATAATTTTCATATTTTCACTTTCAAAGATGTAAAACATTGTAAATTTGCATTTCCATGCAAAATGTAAACATTGTATGCCTAGGGCAGTCTTTAAGGTCCTGTTGATATGTTAGCCTAAAACTAGTCAGCTATGCTTGACACAAAAAAAAAAAAAAAAAAAAAAAAAAAAAGAAAGAATAATAATACTTTATTTTGCTGCTATGATAAAAATAGTCCTTGAAAGTAAGCTGAACAGTTTAGTGTTCATGTTATTATATATTAAAAAGATCAAGGGGAGTAAACAGTTAGGTAAAATATCCTGCTGACATTTCACTAATCCATGTTGTTATACCATTATAAAGCAGATCCCTGTTCTTAAAGCTGTTTATGCCATTCATTTACAAGTTTTATCTGTTTATGATGGTATCGAGATCAGAACTTTCTCTTCATCTGGCATCAAATATCACTTCTACTTTAAAAAAAAGCTACTTGAATCTAAGTGTCTTGCAGTATGCAACCTAAAGTTCTTCTGGTTTAATGTTCAAATGGTATGAAAATTATGGGAGGTGTATAATGTGTTGTCTTTCTCCCTTTAAAAACAATCTAGAACTTGCCACATGCCTAGGTATTAAATGACTGCACTGTACATCATGAAATTGCTAATCTTGTATGAGTCACCCCACAAACTTAAGTTTTGCAAGTTCTCTGACTTAAATGTTGTTTGAAAATGGTAACCATTTTTCTCAACCTCTACTACTCCTCCTGCCATTGTGCACAGAAAAAATCTGCTTGTGTTCTTTAAAATAAGTAGTTGCAAACACAACAGCTCTTCATCTATATTTATTTTCAGAATGTATATTAGCAAATAAAGTATGTAAATGTTGCAATATCAAAATAATTTTGCTATTTTTGAAACCTAACAGAAGTCCCAGTATAATGCTTTTGCACTGTTTTAACTTGTAACTGTGCTTTTTTTGAGTCTATGCATTAAGCTGTATGTAATATTACTTACGTGATAAAATTCAGAAAAGTGGCAAGTGGTTCAAAAGCATGGTTTCTAAAGTAATGAAATTCTGTGAGTAATTTTGCTTTCAGTTTATCATCGATGGTGGAAATAGTGAGAGGGCCAGTTTCATTAGCCAAGAAGTTGCCATAGTCTGTAGTCTGTAGATGTAACTTCAGATCTGGAATTAGATTCAAGGAAGATCATGAGAATAAACTGTCATTATATTGTCTACAAAGCAAATAAAAAATATAAAATGTTAATTTCTAACATTGTATTTTCATATTAAGCATCTAATTATACTCTATTTAAAAGCTTTTGGCATAGATTTAATATAGAGTAAATGCACAATTAATGCCAATTTTTATTGCCTTCTACCAGTAAGACTTATTGCATGCCACAAGAAAGCACAAATAATTGACGCCTTTGTCAGACTTTTCACCAGCAGCATTCATTTCCAGCTGATACCATTCCAAAAGAACATAGCCTTCTGCTTAAACAATGTGACACTGAAAGATAGTTACATATCTGCTAGGCCTAGTCAAGTTTGTAGTAAAGGACAAACATTAGCTAAGCTAAAATAGATAATTGGGAATTTTGAGACGCCACATCCTCCTTGCAATAGGGTAGATAAGGTAGTGATGCTAGAATAAACCAGTTTTGTGGAGACAGAAGTGTTGTAAACAGGCCAAAAGATGAACTAAGCATGCTCGAAAGTTCAACGAAAGGACACTGAGAAAAGTTTCAATGATCACCAGAGAACCCCTGAAGACCATCAAGAGACTCCAGTGTGCATGCGAAAATGACATTTACCTATATTAATGGGTTACTGGAAATGTAATGAATATGTTAATAATTCTTGGAAAAGTAATGAATATGCATGTTTTGATAGTATAAAGCTTTTGTAGAGAGACAAGTTGGTATGCACGATAGGTGGAGCAATCCTCCATGCATCCAGTGCTGCAATAAAAAATGCCTTCTTCTTAAGACTACATTGGTGTTAAGTTCATTCCTAATTTCAGTGACACAGCCACACCAGGTACAGTGTCAATTACTGCTGTCCCTCGCCTCTTTCCAATCAAGTTTGTTCAATGTTTTAATTTCACTGATTTGCACCATTATAATATGTCCACTCTTTTTTGTCTCCTGCACTCGTATGGACTGTTATGCATCAGTAAGAATAATCCATTGACTTTGTTAAGATCTTAAGTTTTCATATGAAACATTTAAATCTCAAGTAAGACTATAATCTTATGTTATGAAGCTGTCTGAAGAAGACAAGAGAATACATCCTGACTGGCTCAGATTCTGGACTCCAAATGACTTGTGCAGTGGAGCACTTGAAAGGGCAGTGTTATACTCTCTCAGCATTTCTGGTTTGGCTTTGTCTGATTTATGGTTGATACTACCAGTTCCTAAGAAGCTGTTCCAGAAACTTGGGTTATCATGACATATTTTGTCTGAGCTCCCAACCCTGGTTACTGAGGAAAAATGTATTGATTAGACAACAAAGTTGAAAAAAATTTTCAAAATATCAAAGAATTAATTTGACAAATTTCTTCTGCTAGCCATTTTCCACTATGAGGCCAAATTAAGAATTTGAATCAGTTCTTAGTGTTAAAAGCAGTTTAACATTTCTTTTTAGAAAAGCCCTAAATAAATTCTTTACTGTGAGAGTGGTGAAACACTGGAACAGGTTGCCCAGAGAAGTTGTGGATGCCCCCTCCCTGGAAATGTTCAAGGCCAAGTTGGATGAGTCTTTGAGCAACCTGGTCTAGCAGAAGGTGTCCCTGCCATGACAGGGTGGGTTGGAACTAGATGATCTTTAAGGTCCTTTCCAACCCAAACCATTCTGTGATTCTGTGATGATTCTATATTGCATAATTATGTCCAAATGCTATATTGAAACTACTGTAAATTATAGATTAAGATAATCCTAAATGGTTTGGGCATTAATAATTATTAGATTTACAGATAAAATCTGAAGTCATACTTAGGGAAAAGGACAGCAACACTCCCACTAACAGAAATAAGGGTGTACCTGTAGGGAAGTTAATATGCAGTTAGCAAAGTGTGCATTTATCAGTCTAGTGGCTACTCTTTCCGATTTCTCCATGTGTATATTTTATGCAATAAGGTTGCCTACACTGAGACTTAAAGTGACATTGCAAATTCAAACTCCTATGTCTAGCACTCTAGTTTACTGAGATAGATTACCCTCATAGTTTTCTATGCAGATTGGCTGCCTCTTGAGCTCATTTTAGCAATTACAGAATCAGAATCATAGGGTGGTTTGGGCTGGAAGGGATCTTTAAAGGTCATCTAATTCTAACCCCCTGCAGTGAGCAGGGACATCTGCAACTAGATCACGTTGCTCAAATCCCCAACCAACCTGACCTTGAATGTTTCCAGGGATGAGGCTTCTACCACCTCTCTGCGCAACCTGTTCCAGTGTTTCACCAACCTCATTGTAAAAAATGTCTTCCTTATATCTAGTCTATATCTACCCTCTTTTAGTTTAAAACCATTATCTCTTGTCCTATGACAACAGGTCCTATCTGTCTATCCCCATCTTTCTTATAGGCCCCCTTTAAGCACTGAAAGGCCACAATAAGGTCTCCCTGGAGCCTTCTTCAGGCTGAACAACCCCAACTCTCTTAACCTTTCTTCATAGGAGAGGTGTTCCATCCCTCTGATCATTTTTGTGGTCCTCCTCTGGACCTGCTCCAACAGGTCCATGTCTTTCTTGCACTGAGAACTCTAGAGCTGGACACAGTTCTCTAGGTGGGGTCTCACCAGAGCAGAGTAGAGGGGCAGAATCACGTCCCTTGACCTGCTGGCCATGCTTCTTTTGATACAGCCCAGGATATGGTTGGCCTCCTGGAGTACATACACACGTTGTCAGCTCATGTCCAGTTTTTCATCCACCAGTACCCCCAAGTCTTTCTCCACAGGGCTGCTCTCAATCACTTCACCCCCCAGCCTGTATTGATACCAGGGGTTGCCTCAACCCAGGTGCAGGACCTTACACTTTCTTGAATCTCATGAGGTTCACATGGGCCCACTTCTTGAGTTTGTTTATGTCCTTCTGAATGGCATCCTGTCCCTCAGGCATATCAACCACACAACTGAGCTTGGTGTCATCTCCAGATTTGCTGAGGGTGCCCTCAATCCCATCATCTATGTCATTGATGAAGATATTAGACAGTACTGGTCCCAATATAGACCCCTGAGGGACACCTTTCATTACTGATCTCCATCTGGACATTGAGCCATTGATCACTGCTCTCTGGATGTGACCATCCAGCCAATTTCTTACCACCGAATGGTCCATCCATCAAATCCATATCAAATCACATTAACACAGTCTTGGATAGGAGAGCCTTACTCAGCCAGCACTCTGGAACTCTTAGTATTTATCTAGATCTTCCTGCAATAGACTGGACTTATGCTACCTGTGTAAACTAATTGCTTCTTAAAATTATATCGATGATCACAAAATTGTTGACAAAAGAAGGCAGAGGTAATTGGTCTTTCAATGGTCAGAGACAGATACTAGGAAATAGTCATGGTTTCAGTACAGGCTTTCATGTAGGAAGAAGAAAGATAATCCAAATATGAAAAAAAGAAAACAAATTAATTAAAGAAAGAGAGAAAGGTAAACAAAATTAAGAGATAAATAAAAATGCAGAATTGTGCCCAGAAATTAGTCTAAAGCTGGACTGCTTGTTCTTCTAGTCTCCTTTCTAGACAGCAGTAGTCTTTCCATCACACCATGAGGCAAGGAAAGAATAAAGCACTGAATTTATCCCCCCACAATATTCTACTTCAATGACTGTCAGCAGGGTTCCTCTGGGGATCCCATTCATCTGAAACAGATGATGACATAGGGTCAAAATATATAGCATGCTGTGTTGCAGAGGTTTCAGCCAGTGTTGCAGCCCACAAGGTAGCTCCATGGAAATGATAATAATTGAAAAAAGCCCAAAAGGATGTCTAAATTAAGCCGAAGGGCTCTTCTCCTCTCTGTGTGGCCCTGAATTGAGAGGACACAGTGGTACCTTAAGTCAGTTAGCATCCTCCTTTTTTCCTGTCCCTCTCACTGTTAAACTGTGTGATTATCAAGCAGACGCAAAGCACTAACCTACAGTTTTTCTTGTGGTTCTTCTGTACTGACATCATGGTTTCCCCTCTAGAGATATGAAAACCACTTTAAAATTAAAAGATCTTTTTGATTCTATTTATGGGTTACTTGGGGTTGTTTTGATTTTGTTTCTGCTTGGTTTTTTTAGCATATTTATAATATTTTTAACTTAGGCCAGTTTTTGCGGTGTGGTGCTATGCCACAAATGCAGAATGGAGTGAATATATTATCTTTTAATGTGAAGACATGAACTGAAGGCACTATTGGGCAAGCAAAATAGTACTACAGTACAAATCCACATGCTGGATCTTTTAATTTGAAACAAAATACAGTGTATGCATAAAGCCCTGTTTTTTACTTTAGAGGTAAGGATCTATGGTTTTGGTGAATTGCACACTTGTGGTGCAAGTTCAATATTACTGCATGTATATGTGCAGAGAGATAAGTGTCTTTGGCCTCATGTACAAATCCAGTACTTCTCATATTTTCACTATATATAAATTTGGTAGGTAACTGGTGGGAATCTATTAGCTGTCTAAAAGAAGTAGAAAATGTTAGAACGAAGAAAGAGATGTAGCTGAACAGAAAAAAAAGGGAAGTGTTAATGGGTACTAGCAATGTGCTTGTAGATGAACCGATGAAGGCTTCTGCTGCTGAAATAATTTGCATTCTAAAACTGAATGAACACTAGAAAGAAGAAGGTTCAAAAATTAAAAAGTCATTGTTCTTTCTACTATAAATCTTACTTAGAAAAGGATTTCATCTCTCTATCGTGATCTGTCCATCTGTTACATGCTCTTAATAACATTGAAGGTTTATATATCTGAGAAATGTTTGAGAACTACTTCCTTGTAAATAGAATCATAGAATCCTAGAATGTTGTGAGTTGGAAGGGACCCACAAGTCCAACTCTTGTCCTAGCACAGGACAATCCCAAGATTCAGACCATGTGTCTGAAGGTGTTGTCCAAATGCTGCTTGAATATTGTCAGGTTTTGTGCCATGAGTACCTCCCTGGGGAGCCTGTTCCAGTGCTCCACCACGCTCTGGGTGAAGAACCTTTTCCTAATGGCCAACCTAAACCTCCCCTGGCACATCTTCCTGCCATTCCTGGTCCTATCATTGGTCACCAGAGAGAAGAGATGAGCACCTGCCCCTCCTCTTCCCCTTCTGAGGAAGTTACAGACTGTGATGAGGTCTCCTCTCAGTCTCCTTTTCTCCAGGCTGAACAAACCAAGTAACTTCAGCCTCTCCTCATACGGCTTCCCCTCTAAGCCCTTCACCAGACTAGCGGCCTCCTCTGGACACTCTCTAGTAGGTTTATAACCTTTTTATACTATAGCAACCAAAACTGCACCCGGTACTGGAGGTGAGGCCACACCAGTGCAGAGTAGAATGGGATGATCACCTCCCTCGACCGGCTGGCAATGCAGTGCCTGATGCACCCCAGGACATGGTTGGCCCTCTTGGTTGCCAGGGCACACACTGTTGGCTCATGTTCAACTTGCTGTCGACCAGAACCCCCAGATCCCTCTCCGCAGGGCTACTCTCCAGCCTCTTCTTCCCCAGTCTAAATAACTTCCTTGTAGCATGACTTAAAAATTAGACAATTTTTCTTAACTGTTCTTAAAGTGAGCTAGTATTCTTCTGGGAAGGATGAGGGAAATCCTTTTTTCTTGTATGTTTTAAAAAATATTTAAACCTGTATATTTTCATCTTATTCAGAAGTAAGGGTTTTACGGGGGTTGGTGTTTGTTTGGTTGTTTTTTTTTTTCTTCTTGGAGCCTTTGATCAACATTTGTTGAACTCCTCTGCAGAGACAAGTGTAGTAAGAGCAAGATTTAATAAATCCATCATTCTGTCCTTTGTGTCTCTTACAGAAGTTTGACACTGTATTAGCTTTTTCTGAAGTCTGTGTATTCATAGAGTAGACTTTTCTGACTTAAACAATTAAATACAATATCAAGGTTGTATGTAAAGTCTTTAAGTTCAAGTTCACAGCTACTGGTAGAAATAGGCTACAGAACCTTTGATTTTGTCCAGCTGACATAAGGAATAGATTTCACTTCTCACAGTGTTCTGTGTGTCAAACTGCCATCGTATGAAATAGAGAGTGATACATCTCTCCAGCTTATCAGCTGAAGTAGGTACATGCACTTGGTCAGTTGAATAGTCTCTAGATCCTATTGACTGCACTGACAATCTCTTCTTTAACTATGAGAGGAACTTTATCCTGCTAATAGGTAAATACCCACATGTATCTATTTAAATGTAGTTTTAATCTGAAAGATGGCTGGCAAGCAACCTTCCCAGACTTATCTTGTTATTGTATTAATAGTTTAGACAGCCTCAAGACTCCACTGTAGATGGAAATTATCAGGTTCTGCACTTCTCGTTTCCCCAAATCCATTACTTCATATACAAAGCTTAAAACAGAGTGAGCTTATTATTTCTCCTTGTTCCTTTTTCAAATTCTGGATGTTATAGAAATTATTTCAGTGTACAATCGTAGCTTCTATTATCGAGTCAGGGAAAGAAACTTTATGTTCCTTTAAAAAGGTGATTTTTTTTTGGTTGCATTTTTTTCCTGCGAAGTGTCTAGAAGTATGTCATATGATTATTTGTACAAGTCTATTCATCAGGCTATGACCAGTCTTGGCCACAGAAAACTGTTTTGGAAACTAGCGTGTGTTATCTTTATTACTGTGGCAAAGTCACCTTGAAAAAAGCTTTTTTTTTTAACTTTGACAGTAGTTGACTTTTATCTTTGTGAAGTCAAGTTTTCTCTTCCTGGTAAGCAGAATGTCTCCCACTGCCCTAAAACTCATGAAGTAATAAAGTACTAAAATTCTATCCTTTCTAGAGAAACTCAGAGCCAAATGGTAATCTTTTAATAAGATTTTGGGAACTATTTTAGCCAGCTGAAATGTTATGAAACTTCTATAGCGTGGTTAAAATCTGTGAGAAGGTTATCAGTCTCCATAGGAACTCTATGGATAAGATTTCCAAACTTTATCAGTAACTAGAAAAACCCATCATCTGGATTGCTTTGCAAATCACAGTCTGTACAATCCTAGGGTAATTTCTATGGAAAGCTATTAACTTAAATATGAGAACAGTTCTTCAAAGGACATTGGGGTTATCTCTGGTTTTTAAGATAAACCTTCAATACTCCAGTCTTTTATCTTCCCTTTTTCAAAGGTCTAAGCAATAGTGTTTCTTCCTAAATAAAATAAACCAGCAGACTTACCTTCTAGTGTCTCACACTGTGCTAAATTGACATAATCCGCACTCGTCAAGATCCCAGCTTTGAACCCTCGCACCAGACCCTCCAAGTAGCCATGGTCCACATTGAAGTAAAACTCTGAGTATCCCGGCATGGAGAAAAGGAGATTTAATCTGTCTGCTGGATACTCGATGGTACCGAATGTCTGCCACAAACTGTTTTCCTCCTCTTTGGAAGGAGTGACAAATAGTCACTGATTTCCTGCCAGCCTATGATTGTGCTTTACAAACTGGTTTCTTCCTGTTTCTTACTCCTAGAGTAGTTCCAATATAGTTGATGCTTACACAACAGCCAGCCAGCAAATCCAACTCCCTCCTGTCAGAGCCAGAAAATGAACCTATTATTGGTGAAAGAGAAACCAAAAAGGAAGTAAAAGATTTAACCAGTGCTCACAAGAATGCTCTGTACTGTTTGGAAAATGAAAAAGCATATTACAAAGCTTGATAGCGTTTTTGCATTTCTTAAATGTATTATAAACAGGAACTTATCTGTGAATATCTGTTGAAAAAATATTTCTGCACTGAAATGGTGCACTGTGGTAGAACATACCTATTCAATGAACTTAGATTTTTTTTTTAGTGTCTCTGTATACCTTTTATTGTTAACACTTTTGATTGCCAGAAATTTTCTACAGCACATCTCTATCAATAAATACGTATACGAATTATAAGATTCTTCTAATAATAAGAGTGAATGTTAGATCATGTTTATAGGTGAAAGGTCTTTGAAGGGTTTGACTTTCACTAGACTTTAAAGTGAGTATCCAGAACTTACCTGAAAACTATAGTTTGTCCAAGTTCCAATGAAAATACTCTAGTTATATTCACTAAAACATGGAAATAATTCACATTTTTTCCTCTTACAAAATCAAGCTTATAAAAATAGGAATGTTCATTTCAGTAATGCAAATTTAGAGTCTTTTTAGTCTTCCTGGTTTTGATTCAATTTAAACTCAAAACTGGTAATTCTATCAGTGACTTTTATACTGATCTGTTAAGTCTGCTGCCTTTCAGATTTAGGTGTCCCAAAGATGACAGTTCAAAGTGGCTATGCTTCTGTAATCAACACAAAAAGTCCTTTTTCTCCCTAAATTCACTAGCATATGCAACACATCTTAAAGCTTTGCTGGAAGGGAAAGTCTGATAGCACACTAGGGGATATTTACATATGTAGTTAACTGGAGCTGGGGAATGAGGTGTCTGAAGGCTGCTGTGTGGTTGGAGGGCTAACACCAGCAACAGAAACTACAACAGCTGTCTGCCATCTGCATCTCAACACTTAGACTCAGTTTTCAGTGCTTTGAACATGTTTAGTGTATTGTGTCAGCTGAAGCTGCACAGCTTGGCTTTTCTCTTGATTCCTTGTGTGGAAATGTGGCTTGTGAGTGAGACTTGTGGACTTTCTCCCCTCTCCTGGGGCCTGAGAGACTGATGACAGCCTGGTACTCACCAGGTGATTTCTGTCTATACCACCTTGCTCCTAGCCACAGCAAGGCTTTGTAGGCCATACAACGAGGCATGAGGTGCTCAGATGTTTGCAGCCTGAGTAGCCACCCACTACTTACTATAGGAAGAAGGTCACTAGCTGGCTGGCTTCTTGGCTGGCTGGCCAGGAGCCTCCAATGGGACAGGAGTGGCCATGAGCCATCTGGCAGGACAGGCTCAGCCAAGGGACTAATTTAAGGGTCAAATTAAAATTGTTTCAGGCTGGTTATTACCACGCCTGTAACCGACTGCAGAGGAAATAATAACAGCGTTTAGACATTTTAAAAAATCACGTGCTCAAATATGCGAACTGTAATTAGTTGAGAGTTCAAATGGTGCCTAGAGTACTGAAGTTTGCTCCTTGTGAATTAGGCTTACAGTTTTACTTCTGTCAGTTCTTAGCATTGTAGTGTTAACCCAGCTAAAGAAGAATGAGAATGATTAGGCCTGTTTGAAAATAGAAATAAAACAACTCCCTCCCCCACACAAGCAATTTGGTTTTGTCTCCCAAATCTGCATGCCAGCAGTGCTCAGAACTTCCTCGTGCAAGAAGCTGTTAGAAGTTTAATGATGATGTTCCAAAAGCCAGGGAGATTTTTCAGGGTACAGACAACTCTCAGTGCTTCCTTATTGACACATGAAGATAACCACATCTTCACTTAAACCTGCTTTTTTGTTGTCATCATTGTTCTAGCATGTTTCACCTGACAGCCTCTGATACTAATTTTTTCAAGGAAAAGAAAAGAGGAGAAGTAATAACAGGAGGGATCATTATTGTGTACACTAAAAACAATGTTTGCTTTTAACCCACACATCTCTAAAGTGTGTGTTACATAAACAAGTAAAGTCTCACAGCAGCTGAATTCAAGCCTCCCCCAGCTGCAATCACAGCATATCAGAATGTGGCACATATCCAGCTGGTGGCAGTCCAAGGTTATGCTGCTCATGAGCTTCCAAAACTTCAGACAGCAGAGCCAGTGCAGAAATGGCTTTGCAATAGGTCCTAAATTTAGTAAGGTTCGGGGTCATGTGAATACTGCCTGGCAGGTGCAAATACCACCACTGGTGACCCTCCAGTGAGAAAGTGCTACCACAAGATCCATAAATACTGTCAGGACCATCACTTGAAGTATTATCACTCAGCAAAGTTGTTTAATGAAATCTGTGTATTTTTGAATGATAGCAAAATCAAGCTAAAATCTTGAGTGATTTTATCTCTTAGGGGATGAAGTCTCAGATGATATGATCCAGGACAATAGGCTGCATTCAACAAGATCAGGAAATGCTCAGTTCTCTGATTTTTTGTTACAAGAAAAATAGATGGAGGAAGACAGCTTTAGCAGCTATTTAGACATGAAGCCTATATTTATCTAATGCACTAATTTTTTTAAAATTAAAAATATATAAAAGAGCAAATTCAGTATCTATTGTTGCAATTTCTTATGAATGGCTTGTACCATATGATTTCTTTAACATTTTGTAGTGGGTAAGGTTTTATTAAAAAATATAGTTCTTTATATCAATGAACTTATTTATATAGAGCTGTGAATTGGCTTTAGCCAATTACCATGTGAGAAAACATGATACTTTCACCTGTTAAGTTTGTGGAGTGCAAAGGTTGAGATATTTTTAAAAGAATCTTTTAGCAGTGAGCCAAACAAATCCTGGTAGCATGTTTGGGAGAAGTTAATTCTGGTTAAGCAGAGTTAGCAACACAAATCTATTCAGATCTAAGAGCAGAATTTAACCTTTGATACTGACAGTTTTTGAGAAACTATGAAACAACTTGCATATATTATTTAACCACAAGAGGTCATCATAGCACTGCTGTAAACCCCCTTTGTTAAGTTTTTTTTTCACTTCCACTGAAAGAAACTTGGAAAGAAATATGAAAAAATCTGGCTTTTCCGATTTACTTTCAGCTAGTCTAAAGTTAACAACATAAACCACATACACTGATTGTTTACTCAGAAGTGACAAAGAAGATATTTCCATTTTACCTGTACTTTTGCTATATGCATGGATTTTTTCTGAGCTTCCTCTTTTTTTTTTTATTTTTTGTTTCTTTTTTTAACAGTGTTGACAGCTCCTAGCCACGAGGTTAATACTGAAGAACAAATGACAAAGAATCAGCAGAAGAGTGAGTAAATGGTGTTATACCAGTGGAATATTGACTAAATCACATGATGTCAAAGTTGCTCTTTTTTTTTCATTAGAAGTACTGTTTTTTTTTCATCTATCAGCTATATTTTTCATCTTGGTATCTCATTTAGAAGTCTATTTACAACAGCTTTAGCCAGGCAGATCTCTGCTTAAATTGTGGTTTTGCTTATCCAGAAACAAAATTCACACAAGTCTTGACTGTGCAATTGCTTACACATTTAATTAGTGTTATGTGTGCCAGATTCACTGTTATCAGTATATAGTGCTACTTCAATGTGTGAGTGAAACAGATTTCTTCATCTGTCTGTATATTGACTCTTTTTGTTCGGATGTGGGACATTTTTGACCTAACACTGACTCTATACTTCCTATCCTGTCAGTGGAAAATGCACTTCCCTTACTTATAAATCAGAAGTGTTTTTAAAAATGTAACCTGTTCTTTCAGCTGTTTTCCCTAAAAAAAAACAAAAACAAAAACAAGTTTATTTAGATCACTTAGGTAAAAATTGTTATGAGCTGTGCACTATTAAAATTAAAACTATTCTAATTTTCTAATGCAACTTAATAGTATCAAAACTGATCTAGAGACTTTTAGAATGCAATGTTGCTAGTGGTTTTTTTCATTACATATCTTCATACTGGCATTGAAAGCCAACTGTATCAGAACTCCTTAAGCTTTGTAAATTCTGGAATGGTCTGCTGTAAATTTCTGATGGGTGTGACCCATTCCTAAAAATCCTTCCAAAATATGGTCTGTTGAAATCCCTCATTTTCTGAAATAATTCTGATTACAGTATGTAAACTGAGATTCAGGCTTTCTGAGGTGCTGAGCACCTGCAGCTCTTATAAGATGAATAGCAAACACAATTAGATACCACATGGACCCTAGCACTCGATAAGTAGCTAGAAGAATGCTAGCATGGGTAGCAGAAGTGTAGCTCAACTATAGCTAATGATGATGTTTGTCCCAGTTTCTGAGCTTTGCTGAACTGCTGTCAGCCATGAAGCAGCCCAAATGCAGTTATAGCTGTGACTGCCTAAAAAAATATGTGAAACAAATAATATATATATTTTTATAAAATAGATAAAAATTGAGAATGATGATAGGCTATACCTGTATAGACACAATCCATCTACCATTCTTTCTAGCTATGTTAATGCATGATAAAGATACATTCCCATGGAGATCTTATTGGTAGCTAAGCGCTCTTGTGCCAACAAAAATGCTGTACCTAGCTGACATACTCAGTGCTAACCCACACCCCAGACTATTTACACTGTCTTTGCTGAGAGTCTTCACAGCAATTATGCACCCCAACCTTTCCTGTCACTTCATTGACTTTTGACTGAATTTACATAAAATACATCTTTTACTCCTGTTCCTTGTTAGAAGTGCTATTTTGATATTGGCTTCACAAACATCACTCAATGGTGTTATAAAATCAAAGAGCTTCCTTTTCCCCCTCCCTTGCCTTCAAAAGATAATCTAGCAGCTTTGTAGGTCAGCAAGCCTTTTGGGTTTTTTTGGCCTTTGTCAATGAATTACATGCCAGTGCAATAAGAAGGATTTTATC